CATTCCTTTGGGCAATAAAACCAGTGATATCAGCATTGGTTGCCATGGTGACCAGGGGCCTGGTGTCGTTCGCAGACAACCTGGCACCCAGTATGTTTATTGGGTGAGGGGTCTGTGACGATTTGTTAATCTAATGAATAATTGATTTGTTAAATCTAATGAAAGGTGGTGTGTCTGATTGGTCTGATTGGTCCAGACTCTACAAAATTAAGAACCAGAACACACAGGATTTATGAATTTATGTAAGTGAGTTGAAACGATGGCAATCAACACAGCATTAAAAAAAAAAAATACAGTCAATGAACTGGTTTGAATGATTCTGTTCATTTGCATGTACTGTCCATATGAACCAATTAAAATGAATGATTTTGATGATCTGGACTTTCCAAAGTTACATACAGTATAAGAGAGAAATAAAGCTTGAGCCAAACCAATTGACCAGAATAAATCAGACTATCCAATGCTACATGTATGAGTGAGGGTAACATTTAGGATTAAACAATTCACTACAATAGAGTTTGCACTGAAGCTGTGCAAGAAAAAGGTGACACGTGACATTAAAACAGCAATGTAGTGGTTGATGCTATACTACTTATTGGAATGTAAAACTAACCTCATACTGCTCTCAGAATGAGAAACAGCTTCTGTCATTACTCCTCTATTCTCATAGGGCCTGTAGAGCAAACTCACTCTCTAAATAAACGTCTAAATAGCTGTGTTGTAAATAGCTGAATGTGGGCATACAGTGATTTTGCTGACAAATGATTACACAGAAGAACAGTCTATAATGCCACTTTGGTATATTATCTTAGTCGCTAATGCATGAAACTTAGCAAAGTGAACAATGAAAATGTCAAAGACGAGAGTTTTTCATTTATGATTTCAGTTTATGTAATGCATCACTGCATCGAATCAAATATTCAGATAATATGAAAAAAAAACAAAACAAGCAGAATTCTTGGATTTTTCTAAAAGCTGAAGTATTTAATTATGCATGACAAAATGCTTTCTCCTAATAAAATGATTTGTTAATATATATATATATATATATATATATATATATAAAAAAAACAAAATATATAATATATAATAGCATTTGTTCCATAGTTGGTGTCAGTGGAAACAGTTCACACAGTCCTGATCTATTTACACACTACACACTTGGCAAATTGAAATTTGTTGGCGAAACATACATAATACCTGTGTACTTACATAGTAACTAGATGTGTACATAGTATGTAACCACAGTGTAAGTACACATTGGTACATAGTATCTACAGCGCTAATGTTTGTGTAACTACACATATGTAACAACCCTCAAAACGGTATGTGTAAGTGCAAATGTGTAACAGGACTAACAGCACTTTTTGGTAAAGAAAGTGTTACACTTTATATTAGATTTATCGTGTAATTACTCTGATGTTACACAGCAGCGGCCAGTAAGTTAGGCTTTACATATAAATTGTGGTTGGTGTCCAGAATGTTACACGTTATATTAAGTGGACAGTTTCTGAGGGTTACCATGTAAGTACACTGGTATTACAGTGGTGCACCAACTCCAACTCGAGATCCAACTCCTCCCACTTTACATATCCCTAAACCTACCCATCTCCACCCCCCGGATCAAATTGTTACAATTACTCTTATACATGTTGTTACAAAATGTAGTTATATAAATCCTGTTACACGAGTACTTAGTAAAGTGAAAAAAAAGTGTTGTTACCAATGTCCTGTTACACATTTGTACTTGCACAAACCATCCTGAGGGTTGTTACATGTGTGTAGTAATAGAAATATTACAGTTGTAGATACTATGTACCAATGTGTACTTACACTGTGGTTACATACTACATACACGTGTAGTTACTATGTAAGTAAACAGGTATTAGGGACACAATAAAAAGTGGGACCAGTTTATTTAATATCTTGGCCATCTGGATTAAGAAAGACAACTTGACCTGATGTCTTTTCCATATTTTTATTGAAGGAATGATGGAGATTGACGATGAAACGAATGAGGAGGAGTGACATCATGTAGTGGACTTCGTCTCTCACCACAAAGAACTCCCCGACACCACTGGCTTCGGTGGACCACTTCTGCAGTTTATTAATAAACTTTAAAATGCATTTATTTTTTATTTATTTTAATTACAGATCTAAATTAAACTTAAGGAAATTACACATTTAGACGCTTAAGGATTATTTCAGCCAATCATGAAGTGTGTCTGTGTGAAAGTAACTGCGCATGCGTCCTCTGCTTGTGTCCTTCACAGAAGCGAGTGAGCACCATTTAAACCAATAAACACATCATACACACTTTAGTGTTAAACTATAGCTTCAGATGCATGATATTTTATTTTGTAGAGCCCTATGAAACTCATTTTATTTTTCCCAAATTAAGTTTTATTTTGTTCCAAAATCCTTTTTTCTGGATTCAGTTTTTTTTCTGGATTGTTATATTAAATTTTAATAGAATTCATAAACACAACTTAATTTATTCATGCGTATACAATAATAGGGCCCTATGAAATTGTATTATTTATTTTGTATTTTTATTTATTTATTTATTTTTACTTTAGAAATTCTGTGTTGTGTATTTTGGTATATCTGGTAATAAAATGAAGGCAAAAACATAAATCAATCTTTTATTCCAATGAAAATCAAACCAACCCTTTAGTTTTTGTACATTCAAAGCGCTACACAACAGAGCTTTACTGTGTAACCAGGAATGCCACGGAATTCTTCACATTTTAAATAAATAAATCAAAAGCAAGTCAGTACACTTCAATCAAACCGCGATATGGACTAGTGTATGTGAATATTAAATGGCAAAAATATAATTTACTACAGATGACGCAAGTGTTGCGTGTGCTTCAGTAATAAACAAAACCGCACGTCTGCGTCAGTCATTCCGTCACAATCCGCGTTACACAGTAAATTCCGTTTCTATGAAAGGATTCCGTCCCTGTTTTCTGCATCAAAATCACTCACTGCTCTTGACTGAAAAACTTTAGTAGCCCTAAAGATGAATTTAGATGTATTTATAGAAATAAATATGTCTGCTTGAAAGAATGAAGAATATGGTAAACAAGTTGCTATAAAGAATGCATAATTAGCCTATATAACCATTGGTATTTCATTAATAAGAAGACCATGTTCTTGTTCTTTATGAGAAGTGGTTTTATTTAATTTTAACATAAAGTCATGTTGTGTGTCACAGCAGTTAAATCGGTGTCTATCATGATAAAACCTTAATATCAAACCTATATAATGAGTTTGGAAATTTTAGATAAATGCTTAATAAATGCATTACACTGTAACTAAACCCATTAGATTTTAGCCGACTAAATGGCATTTTAGTCAAAAGACTATGACTAAAACTAAATCCAAATTTGCTGTCAAAATTAACACTGGGCCACACTAGATAAGCTGGTCATCAACTTTATTTGTGAAGGCCTTCAGCCATTCTCAATAGTTGAACAACCTGCCTTCTAGACCTTGGTTAACACTCTTCACCCCAGTGCGACTTTGTCAAAACCAACAGTGCCATCTGTTGAACCTAGTGGCAACAGCAGATGCTTCTGCAGCTGAAACTCAGAATGTGTCCTACAGAAAGCTATCATGCGCTGCTTTTTCTAAGTGCCATGCTCTGTGGAACAAAACTGCAAGATCTTCAACAGCTTCTGATGTTGTGGATGCTGAGTGCCACCTGCAATTTATAAGACCAAACCAAACACGATGGTGTTCACTATACCTGGCTGTCGAAAGGGTGGTCTGTAAAATTAAAGACCAAGGTGAGGAGGCGATTCGGAACGTGTGTGGAGCCTTCAAAATAAACATGTAAGTCCTCTCTGTAGTTATTTTACTGACTATTTTGCCATCATAAATCAATGTTATTACTAAAGCTTGGTTTGCATATAAATATATCGTTTAGGCTGAATCCAGCTGAGATTGCCTTTCTCTGTAGTGATGAAGCCTGTGACATCAGCACTCACTGTCCTGGAGTCAGAGAACAACACCCACATGGCATGTTTGCTCCCAACTGTGTTCCAGCTTACAGCAAAACTGAGAAGAATGGAGTAAATTATGTATGCCACTGCTGCAGGCATTACAAGAAGGACTCTTGTAAAGAAGGAGATTTGCAGAAATGATGGAGGACCCCGAGCTAATTGCAGCTGCCATCCTTTTGCCGAGGTTCAAGACTTCATAGACATGTGACACCCAAATCACTGAAAGAGGTAGGATAACCTAACAGCACTTTACAACAATGTCACCTTGCTTCTGTTCTTTTTTTTTTACTGTTTGTATCATCATCATACATGTTGCTCAATTTTTCTTTTAACATTCACTCTAAACACTTGTTTAATGAGCCCCCATGGTGATTTATTTTTTTTTTTT